TCCCATATGTGCATGCATGTGAGAGGGAGCTTGTTTCATGATTTTCTGAGGATGCAGCTGTTGCTGTAAAGCTTTTCAAAATATCTCGTCTTTGTTGATTAGGTTCCCTATAGCATATTCTGGATCATTTGTTCATATTTGTGGACTGAACGAAACAATGTGGCATTTTATCTAGGTTTTCAGTTGCTTTGGACAGTTCTTCTGCCTTCATTTCGAGGCATTTCAGCTGGGTACAGCCCCTGTATACATAGCATTCTTGAGATTTATGGGGGATGATAATGAAGCTAAAAACTACAGCTATAGCCTCGAGGTTGGTGGCTATGGAAGGAAGATAATTTGGCAAGGTGTGCCTCGAAGCATAAGAGACAGCCATCGGAAGGTGAGAGACAGTTACGACGGGCTTATCATCCAGCGAAATATGGCTTTATTTTTCTCTGGAGGGGATCGGAAAGAGTTGAAGCTGAGGGTAACTGGGAGGATCTGGAAGGAACAGTGAATATATAATTCTCTGTTGCAATCTCTTTTGCTTTCGCTATGGATTGCTAGAGTATTGAGTTCTCCGAGTCTCTCTAGATTTGAATTTTGGAGGGAGGTTAAGTATTATCAGCAGCAAAATTTCTTTGCTCGGTTGATGTTTGAACTTGCTTAAAATGTATGAGAACATCTTTTAGGCTATAAATTCTACACCGTAGTTGACAAATCCTAGTTGCGTCATGTTGAATTTGTCCTATATATTTCTCTTCTTTTCTTTTTTTTTGTTTTTGTCCCATGGAAGTTAAGCTATGTTGTGGTTAATTATGCAATCCTGAGTCATAGTAATGTATAAATCATAGATCATGTGAGTTCCATTTCATTATCAGATGACTTTTTCAGAGCTCATTGTCATTTCTCTTCCTGTCATGGAAAGCCTATTTATTCTATTGACAAAATGATGTTACTTGTGTGTGTTCCTCTCAAGGAGATATCTTTGTGAAGTCTCGTCATGAGGTGTTGTGCTACTCGAAAAAAGTTGATCTTACATATGGGAGATCTGTATATTTGCATGATAATATTCATTGTCTATGGTTTGTATATTGAATCTTGACATACTGCTGTCTGATCCTTCCTGCCTGAGAAACCCAAAGAAGCATATATTTATTTTTCTAGATTCATATAACATGAACAGTAAAATTTTCAAGATTCATACATTGTTCAATGAGTTTTCCCTTTCTGAATTTAGTGTATTTGGCTCAATAAGCTGCTACAATAAATTTCATAGATCTTAGTACATTTGGGAAAATGAATAAAAAGGAAATGATTTTATTATACACAAAAAATAAAATTAGAATTTTAAAATCTTCATCAAATATATTTCAGTAAATAACAACAAAAAAATGTTCATGCACTATGGCCTAATTGGTTAAGCTGCTACAATAAACCTCATTGATTTTAGTATATTTGGAATAATCAAAATAAATAATTTGATTATATTGAAAATCTAAGGAATTCAAATCTAAAAAAATTTCTACTATAATAAATATCATAGATTCTATTATATTTTAAAAATGAATAAAAAACAAAAAAATATTTATTTTATTTTGTTATAATAAATTTCGTATAAATAAAAAATAAAAATAAAAAATCTAAGGAATTAAAATCTAAAAAAAAAATCTACATAAAATTAAATCGCCTACCAAGTCTCAATAAATCACTACAATAAATTTGGTAGATTTTATTATATTTTAAAAATGAATAAAAAAAGCAAAAAATTGGTTAAATGGACAACATTTAATTAAAAACCAAATATAATCGCCCACCGTGGGGCTCGAACCCACGACCACAAGGTTAAGAGCCTTGCGCTCTACCGACTGAGCTAGACGGGCTTATATTACCGATTTGCTTACGTAATATAATCAAATAATAATTAATACCACTAAGATATATATAATTGCATGTCCCAAAGTATTATCCAAATATGTTCAGTGGAGAAACATCTACTGCAGCCATTACATCAAAATAAATGGGATTTTTGCCAAATAAGAGGATCTTATATCTTAACTCTCATCACATAGATCTATAAATGGCCTTTTGCATCATTTATTAGCTCATTAAAAGCACTAACTATACTGTAATTTAGCTGCTGTATTTTTAGCAGAAAGAGAGGAATGGCATCCTATTTCTATGTTTTTCTCTTCTACTATCACTGGTCTTGTTTTCTCTCTCCAGAAGCAACCATCAAGAAAGTAGAATGATAAAGAGTTAGCAAACCATTGTGGCAATCTGGCGCTGCAACTTAGCTGCTCAAGATAGATACATTATGGCTCCAGCAAAAACAGTATGATTCAGCAAGCAAAGCATGCATCCTGGTTTGCAGTACAATTTAACGTCAGTGATTATTTCTACTGTATGTGTTTGAAAATGACTTCAAAACGCCTGTCTTTTTAGCATCCAAAAGCTTTACATCAATCAAATTTCAGTTCATCGATGATCACTTTGGTGAGTCTGTGATTTCTTCAACACTATGTGGGGATCCATGTTACTTAATTGGTGGGAGTTTTATGCCAATACTATAGTCAGTAGGTCCAATGGTGCCTTGAGAGAGAGAGAGAGAGAGAGGAAACAAGCCATTTGACAAAGGTTGAAGGAAGGTGATGGTCAATATTTTTTATATTAATTGGCAGAACCATCAGCTTCTTTGAACACTTTTGATTTGTAAAGGAGACCCCTATCCTAATGGCATTTTAGGAACCCTTTCATTAAAAATATTACAATTATTCTAAACAACATTATTAACACCTAATAAGACAAAAGTATTCTAATCCAAAATGATTCAAGTAAAGACTAGTTTTGTTGGGGTGTCATCACATATAGGCATGTGTGCCCCATGCTTCCCATTTGGTTGCAGTTGCCTTTAATTAATTACTCCATTGTGTCCCCTATAATTTTTTTTTGATGTATAACAATGACAGTGCAAGGGACCCACCATACCACGTGCCTTGAAATCATCATGACTTATAGTGACAGATTGAATCTAAAATATTTTGAAACAGTATAACCTATCCAAAATCTCTTTAAAAATTTTATCATTATAATGGAACTTGTTAAAGATACCAATGATATCCTAGCATTCAAATGACATAATTGATGGAGATTATATATATATATATATATATATATATATATATACACACACACACACACACAAATGAAAACTTTGAAGTACTTATGTATGTATATAAGTGTTGGATTTTGAATAGAAATATTGGTGTATGCTAAACATAAATTTAGAGATATTACAGGAAAATTACTAACATTGGAGGAATATGTACACATGTATATACATATTCACCTTAGAATGTGGATATGGAGTTGATTTTTCTTATCAATCAACCTTTTTGCAACTTTACTGTGTTGTGCTACTGTGTCTGTAAGATGTGTGTCATCCAAGGTCTGGAATGCTTTGATGTTACATCTCATGCCATCCTTTAGCTTGGATGATGATTGGCTCCAAAGGGCACAACTGCTGCAACAACAGTGCATGACAGCATGACAATGAGATATTACTTCCAATATAGTTGATTGCACACAATTTGAGGTTAAAGAAAAAAGAATAAACATGGCAGCACAATGCATGAGATCTCTGCTGAAACCAAAAAAGGCTATTTTATTGAGCCAAACATAATCTTATCAGAACACATGGAAATAAAAGAGAAGTATTGTATCAGGTTGAGAATCAAATTAAATATTGCATATGTACTCAATGAAAATTATCACTTCTATACTTTTCAAATATTATAATAATACATGAGAAAAGATTTACATAGTTGATTCTAAATATTAAACTAGTACATGAGAAAAGAATCTCTTAAGACTTGGGATGCAATGAGAGGAACTCTTCTACATGCATATGCCCCCTACTGACTTGGATTTTGTTGATTACTTACACTACAAGTGTTTGATTGTCCAAGCCAATTTTGTTACCAGATTTGATATATCCAAGCTGTTAGGAAAGTGTTAGTGGTAAGATTTCAAAAATTTATGTGATTTTTGAATCATTCTTTACCAAGCAATAATGCATAATATGTGTCCATGAAATTCTTTCTAGCAATTATCTTTTAAAAACATTTGAGATTTTGAATAATCTTCATTACCCTAATTGGAACAGATATTATTTGAAAGTTTTTTTTCCACTTTTTTCTTACGACCTCAAATGAGTTCATGCAGAGGATCAACATACACAGTCTTATCCGCAGTTAAATAGTTTCTGTACATGAGCATTCTTCATCCATATATTTTGGTACACAAGCACTAGGTCAGACAATTGATAATGTTCTGTTGATCATAGACTAATGATGCTGGACCAGCACAGAGATTGCACAATTAAAATATGTTTATTGTTTTCAATTAGACAACTCTGTGAGTCATAACAGGAATAGTGAAACTTTTTGCTCACTGATTCCAATGATTAGTGGCAAAAGTAAGGAGGGAAAGGAATAAAAAAAACCTATAATCAGATGATACTTGTACAACCTGCTGGTTATATGGCACCAAATGGTACAAAGAGTGTGTGGAACTTTAGTGTGCTTAAATGGAAACTTGCTGATGAAATGGAACCCTAATGGTCCTTGTCATGTCAGATCTGATGATCTTCCCATCTTTCTATGAATATATATCATGCAAAGTAGGGTTAGCATTTTGCATCAACAGTAGCTATTGTTTTGTCTACAAATCCCATGAACACTGTATTTTCTGAGTGTCAGCTAATGAAGACACTATTTAGTGTACAGTTCCAAATAATGACAGCTCCAGAATCATGTCTGCCACATTACTGTGAGTTATAAGCTTGGATTTGATGTCAAATAATTATCCTGAAGTAAGAAGAAGTTGGCAATGAGCATGTGGTTGGATTGTGTAAATAGAATACAATTGTCTTAAATATAAGAAAGTTTCCATTGGGAGTTTAAATCACAGAGGAAGAGACTCATCCCAAGTACAATATATATCCATAAATCATAAGTATGTATCAAGAACACATGATTTTTATATTGTAGCCAAAAACAAACTCTAAAGAAAGTTTAGCATTACTGAAGATGTTCAGAAAATCTAAATCTGAAGGAAGTTTAGCTCCCAAATCAGGTGAAGCAGAACACTGCTTCAGCTTCAGAAAGGCTTCAGTTAACTCTTATGCAGGCAAAAAAAAAAAACTGTGGATACAGTGTAAGACTCCTCTTTTGGAAGATTGCTCCACTTGAAGTGTTAAATCACCTTTTTATTGCTTTCATTGTTAGAGAAAGTCACTAAATGTTGAGAATCTGGTCTGGGGGCAGTTTGATATGAAATTGATACTGTAAATGACTGTTTCTTCAGATCTGCATGATGAAATGACTTTTGTTTGTACGCAATCCTTTAATAACATCTGAAGAGAACAACTGAGACTGACTTGTGCCTTCACATCTGCATATATGATAGGATGACTTTGTTTATGTACCATTCTAAGAGGAAAATATTCCTTAATTGCTAGCAGAAATGATCCTTATATAACATCTGGATAGAGCAAAATCAAAGAATATTTCGGAAAACCAAAACTAATGTGCAGGTGTGGTTCAGTTGATTAACCTCAAGAATAAATTTTCTGCTGGCTTCAGGATAGAAGACACTGTTATCAAAGGATCATTGATTCAGCAATGCCAATTGCCTGCAAGCTTGCCAAGCTAAAGACTTCTCTGTGTTAGTAGGAGGGTTGTCATGTAGCTTGTTTGAGGAACTGTGAGCAGTAGTTTATTGATAGAGGTTTGGAATGGCATGATTAGGTCTTTCTCCTGTTTAGACTACCATTTTAAATGCTTTTAGTTGTGCAAAAAAAAGCTCTCTACCATTTTCAAGAAAATAGCTCTTTGCCAATCCATTTTTGGGAGATGATCCAAGTATTATTATTGGGTCCAATGCAAGTGACATTTAGGATCTCAGCTTTCAAGTTCCACATACACAAACTTAGTTCCTAGTATCAGCCCAAACTCCGAACTTTATAGATATTGACTCAGGAGATTATACCATGACATTCCTAACAGCCATGTTTACACATGCAACATGACTTGCCAGGTAAACATATCCAATTACAAGAATTAAGCATATAAAACATGTAAAAAGTCACTTCTTCCAGATCTAAAGAGAAAACAATCAAAATTACATGAGACTCAATACAACATGCCAGGTTCTCTTCAGCTGCAAGAACAGCAACTCCTAAGATTTTCCTTGTAGGTACAATCAAGAAACATCAGTGACATCTATCTTGTCTCTGTAAACCTTCATCCATTTCTAAGCAAACAAATATATTCCATCAAGCATTATTTTCTCTCTAAGATTATTCTATGCATCTCTTTGTTTGGTTTCTAGACCACCTTATCTTCCTCCTAGTCCCGAGCAGCCAGCCGATCTAAAGCTAATGGAATTGTGTTATCTGGAACATCAGTGAGCTAATTTTATTAAGTCTGATCTGTACTAATTCTTGCCAATGAAATGTCCTCTTGATAGCCAGAATAACACCAAAAGATGGTACTTCTTCACTTTCCAATTTCATGCAGAAATAGAACTGACAATTTTCCTCAGGTTTAGCAGGTTCCTCCACACCCTGCTGCAACCTTGATCTACTTCTGGACCACAACTCAGAATTGATTGGCCTCCGCAAAGGATGTTAGAGTGTTACATCTTCTTAAGATGCCTTCTTAATGTACCTTCAAAGCACTTCCATGCTCTTCTTCCAAAAGGGAGTTCACTCAGGGACCATTAACTTCTTAATATTCCTAAAGGACAGGAACCGGATTTAGAGACCGAGCAATGCTTGCAGACAAATGGCAGGACATGTAGTTTTGTGCCAGTGATTCAATCACATCAAAGCTGACTCTGATCATGGAGAAGCTTATGGATGTTGACTTTTGAACAAGACTGATGTCAAACAGAAAGGTGAGCAAATTGCTATCATAAAAATGACTTGGGATTTGCTGATATGTTTTGTTTAGATGGTGAAGATGCCTTGATAATTTGTCCATTTGCATGCATGGAAATTGTCAGGGGTAATAACACAAACACAAAGAAAGCGTGGGGATCAAAAGGGAGTCCACAAGCCCAAAGGAAGCCGAGAGAGACCGTGGGGAGTGGACAACGTACGGTACCAAAAGATGAGGCTACCCATACAGAGTATATACGTACGTGTTTAGGTGTATGTTACGTCGGTGATGGGAAAGAGAGGAAAGAAGGGACACGGAGACACACCTCTTCCGGCACACGAACGCCCAGTTGCAGTGAGGGGTAGCAGCAAAAGCATGGGATGGGATGGGATGGAGGAGTGAGGTGGTGGTGAAGCGAGGAATGACAAGTCAACTGTCACTTCCCACACCTCAAATCATAAGACTGTCAGCGATGCGTCAATCACTGCGATTTCCTCCGCTCCTCTCCTCCCCCCTTTCTCGCTCTCACCATCGTCGCTTCTCGGTGCGCGAGTCTGCCCCCATGCATCGCACAGGCACAAGGACTGGCGCTTTCCCATGGCGCAGCGAGGTCCGCACGAGGGGAGCGAGCCCCTCGGCACGCGCGTGGCCACGGTCAAGGCGTGGTGCATGGCATGGCCACGGCCACGGCCACCGCCACGGCCGCTGCTGCCGCTCCCCCCCTCCCTCTCTCCCCACCCCCCACCCCCCCCACCCCCTGTCCCTGTCTGCACGAGTCCCCATAACTGTAGTGGAAATTAAAAGACATCGGCCCGGACGCGAAGCACGATGCCGAGCTCCCCTCAGTAAGCCCCAGTCTTTTCCTTTACTCTCTCTGCGTCTCTCTCCCTCCCTACCTACCAAGTCTATGTCTTCAACCCCCCACCTCCCCCACTCAAGTTTGAACAACAGCTGCTACAGTGCTTGCTGAAAGCAGTTCGAGCATGGAACATGGTGACAAGAATATAGCCTTTGGGATAATATCCATCTGGTGGTTTGTGAGGCATAGGGAGGAATGGTTTACTTTTATACGCACTCGAAGAGAGATCCGACATGGGCCATCAGATGTTGCAATCAGTGGGAGGAAGAGAGGAGAGGAAGATTGAATGGATCCATTGCAGAGTGGGGCAGCCATTGGAGTGCTTGAAGCCGAGAATATCTCTGAACTGTTGTTAGGTTTGTGGGGTCGTGCTTGATGTCGACCTCTCAATGCAAAGGTTCCCCAATGAACACCTCCGGATTTATTTACCAACATATGTGTGTGTGTGTGTGTTGTGTTGCGCAGATGAATCAGCTCTCAGAGTTACTGCTTTTACTGTTGCAAGGAATGCTTTCGCCTGGAACTCTCATTGACCTGTTCTTGGTCCTATCAATGAATACTCTGCGGAGAAGAAGAGGATGATCGACTAATATTGAAGTGGGAAATAATTGCACAGACAATTAGCATCTGATAGAGAGTCCAACAAAGGTTACAGCTCATTGTCTTCTTCAATGAACCTCTAAGAACATAAAAAATAGTACTGGCAACCAATCAAGTGATTGATTTGGTACAACATGAATGGTTGGTTTATATATAGGTGGAGTGGTAGTGAGCTGTTTATGTTCATGCAGGAAAGCTGCTTATTATGAGATGATGTGAAAAATCTATCTGAAAATGATGTGTGGAATAATTATATCAACCACTGAAGAAAATGAGATGCTTTGACAGCCAGTTGTCATGTAAAGTGTCATTCGATCATGGCTTCTGTGATTTCTCCTCTCAGAACACTATATCTCCATCCAATTTCCTCTTCTTACCTCCTCAATTATTTTATATGCCCCAGCCGCCCACCACATCCATCCAGATTGCTCTCTTTCTCTTTATCTTTCTCTTTCTCTGTCATACACATACATAGATCACCTCTACTCTCTGTTCTCTCTCTCTCTCTCTCTCTCTCTCTTCCCAAAAAGAGATATCTCAACCCATCACGAGCGCACAAGTATACAGATAGAAAGAACAACAGGAACCAGAAGTAGCAGCACTGAAGCAGGAGCAACAGGGGATATGAAAAGAAAAGAGGTCAGAAGGAGAAACCCCCTCCTCTCTCTCTCTCTCTCTCTCTCGCTCTCTTGGCACTACTGCTTCTGCTACTCTTCTCTCTTGCTCACCTCAGTAGCTCTTCTAGCCTGACAAAGCTTTGTCTTCCAGAATCATGATCAGATGTAGTTCTGAACCTTAAGCTATAGAAAGGAAGGGATCAGAAGAGGACAGGGGGGAGGGAGGAAAGGGAAGAAGGAAAGCATGGAGGAAGCACTCAAGTCCCTCTCCCTGGACTACCTCAACCTGCTCATCAATGGCCAGGCCTTCAGCGACGTGACCTTCAGCGTCGAGGGCCGCCTCGTCCACGCCCACCGCTGCATCCTGGCCGCCCGCAGCCTCTTCTTCCGTAGGTTCTTCTGCGGCACTGAGCCGCCACCGCCGGGCCTGCTGTCGTCGCCGAGGGGCGGAGCGGCGTCCCCAGGGGCCACCGGCGCCGGCGTCGTCATCCCCGTGAACTCGATCAGCTACGAGGTGTTCCTGCTGATGCTGCAGTTCCTGTACAGCGGGCAGGTGTCCGTGATGCCGCAGAAGCACGAGCCCCGCCCTAACTGCGGCGAGCGCGGCTGCTGGCACACCCACTGCACCGCCGCCGTCGACCTCGCCCTCGACACCCTGACCGCCGCCCGCTCCTTCGGCGTCAAGCAGCTCGAGCAGATCACCGAGGTCGCCTCTCCGACACGGACACTGCTCCTCCTCCCAATACTTTCACCTCCAACAGTTCACTTGGATGTGGTTCTTTTTTGGGAACGCTGAATCTAACTTGTTTGCTCTTTTTTGGATGTCGTCATCCACTGTTGTTTCTGTTCTTCCTCTTCTTCTTCTTCCTCTTCATATATCTCCTGCGTCTTCTTTACTGTATGAAGAAGCCTTCTACAGCAACTTCTAAGAGCTGCGTCTCTCTCTCTCTCTCTCTCTCGCGAATCCACCCATCATACGCATTACTAAACTAGGGTTTTCCCTTTCCCAATAGATCAGATCCTCCTCCTACTTTGCCGTCACAATTCATGCAACACCCTGGTGCCAACAAGCTGAACTAAGGTGCCGACTAGCTTAGCTGGGTAAAGATCTTGACAGATTGACTAGCTTGAGATCTCGATAGATTATCGCACTACCCTGAATTCGAATCTCACTTGTCCTTTGCCAAAAAAGAAAATTTCATGCATCATTCCCGATTTCTTGAATTGGGTGCTTCTGCTCTCTTACGATGCAATCACCAGGTCCACTACTCCGGGCGATCCTCCAATCCTCCTCTTCCTATATTTTATGCGAGGAATCAACCTAGAATTCCCTGCTCACCATCCTCTCATTTGTATGATGTCGGTCGATGCTCATGTTTGGTGTGGTTGGGTGCAGAAGCAATTGGCTAGCGTGGTGGAGAAGGCATCGATCGAGGACGTGATGAAGGTCCTGATGGCTTCGCGGCAGCAAGACATGCAGCAGCTCTGGGCCACCTGCTCGCACCTGGTCGCCAAGTCGGGCCTCCCGGCGGAGGTGCTAGCGAAGCACCTCCCCATCGACGTGGTCGCTAGGATCGAAGAGCTCCGCCTCAAGTCCTCCCTCGTCCGTCGGTCCTCCTTCGTCGGTCACCACCCCCACCAGATCGATGTCGGCGGCCCCGCTGCGGACCTCGAGGACCACCACCACAAGATCCGCCGCATGCGCCGCGCCCTCGACTCCTCCGATGTGGAGCTCGTCAAGCTGATGGTCATGGGGGAGGGGCTGAACCTCGACGATGCGTTCGCCCTCCACTACGCCGTCGAGAACTGCAGCCGCGAGGTCGTCAAGGCACTTCTCGAGCTCGGCGCCGCCGACGTCAATTGCCCGGCTGGTCCAACAGGCAAGACACCGCTCCACATCGCCGCCGAGATGGTCTGCCCCGACATGGTCGCCGTCCTGCTCGACCACCACGCCGACCCCAACGTTCGCACCGTCGACGGCGTCACCCCGCTCGACATCCTCCGCACCCTCACCTCCGACTTCCTCTTCAAGGGTGCAGTGCCAGGCCTGTCGCACATCGAACCCAACAAGCTCCGCCTGTGTCTCGAGTTAGTCCAGTCCGCGGCATTGGTCATGTCCCGTGAGGAGGCCAACTGTGGAGGGGGCACCGGCGGTGCCGGAAACAGCCCGAGCTCGGTCATCTACCCACGGATGAACCCGGAAATCGGCGCTTGCAACACGAACAGCTCAAGCTCCAGCATGGTCAACCTCAGCCTGGATTCAAGAATGGTGTATCTGAATCTTGGGATGGCGGCACAATTCGGAAGCAAGATGAACGATGGCGGCGGAGACGAAAGCGGCAGCGGTAGGCCTCGAGGTGGTGGCATTGGCCCATCCTCCATGTATCCTTCTCATGCCTTCCCATGACCAACTCCGCAAGATCCGAGGACCACCAATCCATAGCACAATAGTCACATCATTCTATAATCCGATGAATTCACAGGGGGAATGGGGAACTGTTGTATCTTTAATCCAAAGGTTTTGTTATTGGAGGAACAGGGAGAAGGGGCATGTGCAGCTGCATCCAGACATGGCAAGGAAGGGCTCCTCATAATTTTATATGTGTGTTGGATTTGTTTGGCTTGTTGGGTTCTTGGTACTTGTTTGGTTTATTGGCTCATGGGGGTGCACCAGCATGTGGGAGATTGGAAAAGGGAGACAACAAGAATCTAAGTAAGCTGTGAATGATGGAGGAGATGCATGCAGGTCAATCCTTTCTCTCCCTAACCTTTCACACCCTTTGTTTCTATCTGCTTTTTTGTTTTCTTTTTCTTTTTCTTTTTTGATATCATCCCTTCCTTGTTTGTTTATTTCACTGTACAATGGCCTTGTTCTTTTCTTCCCCAACGCCCTCCCCTCTCTCTCTCTCTCTCTCTCTCTCTA